TATCTAGTCTACACCTTCAAGTCCTCGTATATATCTAGTCTACACCTTCAAGTCCTCGTATATATCTAGTCTACACCTTCAAGTCCTCGTATATATCTAGTCTACACCTTCAAGTCCTCGTATATATCTAGTCTACACCTTCAAGTCCTCGTATATATCTAGTCTACACCTTCGAGTCACAGTTTCCCGACGATGACACGAGAGCATATCCACATTGATTAAAAAAAAAGTCGAATCTTAAAGGGAAAATTGGAAAGAATTGAAAATCAATTTTGTTTTCAATGAAGGAAGAGTTGGTGGTGGTGCGCCTAGAGAGTGGAGCTGGACTCTCTAGACATTGATGGAAGTTGACTACACATGCGCAGACAGTCCCGGATGTTGGTGTCTCTGTGTATATGTAGCTCTTGTAATAGCACTTTGTAACTAGCTGACATTGTATCTATAAGGTGTGAAGGATTGAAGAAATTGTTTATGTAATAATCTAAAATGAGGTCTGATAAAGACCTTTTGTGCCCTCTGTAATGCTTTTGCGCTACCGTTCACAGGATGAGTATGGGGTGCACAATAAACTAGCCGCCTTCGGCGGCAACAATCAATCAATCTGTGTTTGATATCTGCAAATGTTTATGTATGTGTGTGTGTGTGTTTGAGCATGTATATGAGTGTGTGTGTATATTTGAGTTTAGGAGTATGCATATGTGTATTGGTATACATATGGGTATATGTATTCGGGAATGCAAAGAGTATAATAAGTGTACGTAAATGTGTATGCATTAGGTATGAATATGTATATATGAGTATGCATAAATATATGGGTTAGCAGATGGGCTATGTACACTCTACATTGGAGATTTAATTTGTATGGTCATTGCATTATTTATAAATATTATATGTATTATAAAATACAAAAAAAGATCTTTTAAATTGTGATATATAAAAAAACTTGCATTATCTATTTCTCAATTGTGTTTTTATTTTAATAAACACACCTCAGTTTGTTTACATTTGAAATGAATGGGTTATACATTTAAAGATAGACCATTTATCTTTCCTATGAACAAATATGTATATATCCGAAAGGCTCTCTAACAGTACGAGTTTTTAACGTAGAGGTTCAGTCATAATAACGTGTATGAACACAATTATGAGTTGTATCTATTTGTCGATGTTATAGCTAATTGTTGTTGTTGTTCTATTAGTTGTGGTAATTAGTGGCTATTGTTGTAACTAGTTGGTGTGGTTGTAACTAGTTGGTGTGGTTGTAACTAGTTGGTGTGGTTGTAACTAGTTGGTGTGGTTGTAACTAGTATTTGTTGTTGTTGTTGTAAGTGGTAGTTGGTGTTATAACTGATTGGTGTTGTTATTCCAACTATTAGTTGTTGTAATTAGTTGCTGTTTTAACTTGTAGTTTAACTGCATGTTGTTGCAACTAGTAGTTGTTGCTCTGTCGCTGGAACTAGCAGTTGTTGTTGTTGTTGTAACTAATAGTTACTGTTGTTGTAACTAGTAAATGCGGTTGTAACTAATAATATTTTCTGAGTAAAACTAATAATATTTTCTGAGTATCACCAGATGTGATTCAAGTAGTAGCAGATGCAGTGACATTAATTCACTAATTGCATTAGTAGCAGCGAAAGTAGTTTCAGAAGTAGTTGAAGTAGTAGTAGTAGTAGTAGTAGTAGTAGTAGTAGTAGTAGTAGTAGTAGTAGTAGTAGCAGTAGTAGCAGCAGTAGCAGTAGTAGTAGCAGTAGCAGTAGCAGAAGTAGCAGCAGTAGCAGTAGAAGTAGCAGTAGTAGTAGCATCAAACAAATAGACCACAAGGTCTCGCTCTCCTGCTGTCGTCGTGTGCCAAGCATTAGTGGTGAAGCCCTTCACCGCCTCACCCACCCGAGGCAGACTACGTCACGCTCTCTCACAAACGGCTTTACTGAGCTCCTGTAATCAGAGGTCAGCCGCGTCAGGTGAACTGGGCACGTTTAGGCTCAGTCGTGTCAAGTAAACTTTGGAACGATTAGGTTCAACCGCGTTAGGTAAACTGGGGAACGATTAGGATCAACCGCGTTAGGTAAACTGAGGAACGATTAGGATCAACCGCGTTAGGTAAACTGGGGAACGATTAGGTTCAACCGCGTTAGGTAAACTGGGGAACGATTAGGATCAACCGCGTTAGGTAAACTGAGGAACGATTAGGATCAACCGCGTTAGGTAAACTGGGGAACGGTTAGGTTGAACCGCGTTAGGTAAACTGGTATACTCGTAAGCCAAGTACTGTGGCAAGTTCGCGTAGTCATTGAGAATAGATCCTTACTAAGTAAACCCAAGGAGCTTCAGATTAACTTTACCAAATAAACTTCAGCTTGTCTCGTGTGAACTCAGTAAACTGCAGATATATTCAGCTATACACAACCCCCCCCCCCCTTTGCTAATCATACCGCAGCGTATATAAAACATATTCATACACCTCCAGTATGCTACTCTGAACTAGGAGGGGGGGGAAGGGGAGTAAGAGAATCAGGAGAGAGGGGAGGGAG